TGATGTCCCTAGCTTGCCAACGAAACGTCTGCAATTTAAATGCATAGCTCGGAGAATAAATTAACCCTATCACTACTTCATCAGTATACTTTCTTATAGCTCTCAGCGCTGGGATGTACCGGAATGAGATTCCAGTGAAATAGTCGAAACTTCCAGTTTTAGTCCAAACTCCATCGTCAGTGAATATACCGTTTATTTCTAAGGTATGCATAAACACAGACCATCTTTATTATAGTCAGACCACACCTTGCGTATTCAACAGCCTCGACAGATGAATGGGAACCTATGTGCTGTGAGTGAAAACTTGTTTCTGTGAGAGAGCTCTGGAGAGGCGTATTTTTTAAGTTTACAGACTCGCTAAACGAATTTTTTTCGCCTAATCTACAGATTCACCACATCGCGTACAAGGCTGTCTGCAGCCCACAATTTTTACTGGGGTTACACTGCAGTAAGAAAATTGGTCCGATTTCAAAGCATGGTTAAATGTTTCAACTTCTTGTCGGATTACTAATGTGTCCAGCTAAGATGACGCAGTGGAAAATGTCATTTGCGAAACTTTAGTGAAGAACTTTTTCTGGTAAATTCAACTTTACAGAAACATCAGTATCTAGCTGGCACGGCCTAAATTTCGGCTACCAATGGGTGTTTCCGAACGTAATTTCTCACATGTAGGGCGCGGTAATCTTGAGCGCAGGTGTGCAGGATGGTGCGTGTTCGACACAGCTTGCTTGAATGTTCATCGGATTGAGCATCTCTTAAAGGGTGATCAACGGCACTTCGAACTGTGACGGAAAAAAACAGCTCGAGAGGTGAATAGCCAATCGAGTCGGGATTTTGCGCCGTCTAATAATTGTGTCTGTATTTGTGTGTCCTAGGTTCATTCAGATCAGCGATACTCAAAATTTTTGTTGCTTTTACCCACCAAGCGTGTTCCCTACAAACAATCCCCCCACAAAAATTTTAATGTAACTAGCCAATTAGCTAGTACATCCTGCTTTAAAGTTTGGAAAATGCAGACTGTTTCAACCACTTTGGGCCATTAAAATAAATAAAAGTCTATTGGGGAGCTATTTTTAATAATCAAGAGGTGATGTACGTCAATGCGACGGCGGTTATTGCTTAGTTCTAACAATTCATGGTATATTTGGTACGGTTTCGGCCAACGCATATGTTAAGTCGTGTTTCTTCCCTGATCAAAGGTGAACATATGTCAATGGCTTCTTATTTGTTTCAGGCATCCCTTCCAACTCCGTCTTGGATGAAAGCCTTGCATCAGCACTCTGTGTGGACACGTCCTGAACACCAATCGCATGTGTTGTCTCTTCTACCTAGTAAACATTCGGTCGCTTTTACATGGTCGGCTGACCCATTCTCCTACCTTAGTGTTCGCTCTACTCTGTAATTCGACCCGACGAAAGACTGCTTGAATCAAAAGAACAAAGAGCGAAAAGTGAGCTGCTAAAGACGCCTTCTAGCTGCGCTGCATTGCAGGCTTTTACCCGTAATTTAAGTAATAAAAGTGCTTACCGAAAATTGTCTAATCTATCAACCACTTACTAATGATTGATTACGGAGGGTTACTCAATAATGAATACTTATTTGCTTTGTTTGATTATGATGCTACTGTTATTAATTTTGTTTGGCAACCGTTTGATTACCCAAGCCTCGTACCTATATGTATCCCCCCGCAAAAAGCCATTTCATTCCCTTGGGGGTAATCACCCCCAGGTTGCGAACAACTGATTTAGATGTATTTTGTATGTACCACCTAAGTTGATAAAACCTAAGGGGCCTGGCCTAAGGTACTTTCGTCTCAGTGAACTGTTGCTCAAATGCAAACGAGATCTCAATGCTTTATGAAATTGTTGTCGTGCTGCTTGCTCTTGGTCCGCGCCAAAATCGCAATGACAGTCTGAGAGATCAAACTTGAATTGGTGTGGGTATTTCTGATGAGATTGATAAGCGAAATTGTATTACAGGCATTTTCAATATTTCTAATTTGGTTTACACCACCGTATCTCAGTATACCGCGCGATCCCTACACCAGTAACGGAAGTGGACAATGTACACTTTCTCTTTCACAGCGGACAATCGACAAGTGTCTCAGAAAAATTAAAGTAAATATACCGTAGCGCCATTCGCTAATTTGCTTCTTTATGCATCCAACTCACCAAATGCTTAGACATCCTAGAAACGCAGCATGGCCGTGCGGACTAATCTCGTTGAGAGACAATGTGGGTAACTCGTTTCGCAAACATGCGGAGCACTGGCCATTTCACTGCCTAGGCATCTGTGTTTAAAATGGCTAAGTACTTGGCTGTCATAGACCAGGAATCATTTTAATTCTCTGCACATTGCTATCGAGTAGGGCAGAAGTCACCAAACGTTTCCCACAATGGGCTGGATAGCTGACAAAATGACTAGTGCGGGCCGCATGATTATTCTGGATGACACATGCAAACCAGAAGGAAAACTCTGGGGAAAAGCATACAAGATAAACCAATGGGGGAAAATGCGTTCTGAACAAGAAGGATATATCGAATCACAAAAGTAATAAAGTGATATGTAAAACAGGAAAACAAACGACTATTGATATTTGGTGGAAATACATATTACGGTTATAAGGACCTTCGGTAAGGTAATATATTAAATCAACAAACAAGGCTGGAACTAGATACCGTTACAAATTACATACAGTTATCCATATTAACAGGTACGAATCGCAGCGCTTTACTTTTCCAACAAAACTTCGTACCAAAAAATTGCCATCCTTTCTAACTATAGTTAGAAATTAAGCTCCAAAACGGCCTACGTACTAACCAGCGACGCCTTAAAGCGCATGGTTTTCTACATGAGACGCGCAACAAAGGGACTGACTAACAGAAAATGAACACACAAATGTGTGTGAACACACATCAAGATTCTAGCAATAGCACGGCGTCATTTGCGAAAATCATGAGTTCGCTCAAAATTTAGCGCTCAAACAATGTAAGGTCACGGACAACACGGTAGTGTTCCACCAGTCTGCAAAGCGAACAATCAAGTAATAGTTTGAACGAAAATAGAAGTATTCCCTTGGATTATACGTTTCGTTTTTCGTGCCGCGCAATACAAACGTTTAAAACCTTTTATGGAATTTATTTCTTTGCAATGAGTTAACGTGCGTATAGCTAAGAGAACACAACGCAGTCTATGGAAGTACATGAATGCCCGTTGCAGTTGATGCAAATGGTTAAAAGAGAAATTTCGGGTGATTGAACAGCTGCCAACACAAAAGATGTGTGCGTGTGTGTGTGTGTGTGCATATGGATGTATATAACTTAATAGTCAAATGTGCTGCGTTCCCATAACCAGCAGTTAGATAGGAAAGCCGAAAACAGAATCTTATCCCTTATAGAAGAAGCTTTAGTGATAGTTTAGAACAAATATATACTGATTTTGGCGCTTCGAAGAAAACATTCTGAAGAGCAGTTAAACACGTTTAACACCAGGAGAATTACTAAACGCACTCCCTTTGCCACATTCGATCTGCAGACTGGTGGTATACTACCGGAAAATACGACTTACAGTGTCAAATGTAAATTTTAGCACATATCCTTATATTCTATGCTCTTTATTAAGCGAATTGGAGTACGGCCCGTGAACTGATTGAACTGACTTCGTGGGCCGATTCCGACCCGTGGGTAGTAGTTTGGTAACCCCTGGAGTACATGATTCGTTTCCTGGAGCATACTGCACTAGGTGACCGAACATTTTCTGACATTAGAAGACTTTTACTGATAGATTCAAAATCTCAATGTTTAACAACTCTCCGACATCTGGCAATGTACACTAGTGGCTTCCTGATAATCTGCTCTCTTTTGGATCAAGCGGAGAATGCATTATTCTCGTAGTTAGTATTAATAGCAAACTTACCATCTGCGCAAGCATAGCATAATTCCTGAAACGTCCGAGTCACTTCTCAACCCAATCGCTTACGGTGGCCCACTAATTTAACAGGAAACTTGGCCTATCCAACAAAGCGTGCAGCAAACGCAGTGCATAATTTTCCCCCAAATCGAAGGACGGGAGGCAAATCAGTAATTTCGATTACTTCGATGTAACGTATAATGCAGGTGTCTACGAGTATCGTCACATGCTCTGTGAATTCGTCAAATTTTAGAAATTGCAATTCAAGCTTGCTAGTGCGTTTGAAACAGTTTGGGTGACTGCAGCCTTGGGCATATATATAGAAACTTAGAAGTCCAACCATCTGTTGGCTCTGCCAGGAACTAAAGAAAGGTTAGCCAACTTGAAGCGATCACTCAACTGTTAAACCTTGACCATCGCCTTCAATTTTCAGCTTCAAGCGTAGCCTATTCTGTGTGCTTTGATGCGTAGCCGGGGTAATTAGCACCGCTATGTTTGCGTGTGTTTGTTTATTTTCTTATGATTTATCCGCAACATGTCCGGTTACATGTTTGTCGCTGTACGGTGAGATACACTGAACAGGGCGCGACACAGCTGATTCAGCTAGGGAGTGTTCCCGTTGTATAAGGATCGAATTACGTGTGTTCGCACACCGATAAATACGGGTCCTTTCCATCAGTTTCTAACATATGTGTTGGAAATGCCAAGAGTAGACGAGCACGTGTCAGGATTTATGTGTGCTTTCATTGGGGCGTGTCCACTTTCTCGGAATGAGCAGCCATGGTAACGTGCAAGTTTTCTCCGTTGTGGGGGCTAATCGGATCTTAGTTACCGTGCGATTATTTTTCACGTTCGCATAGGTCCGCGGGCCCGTCCCCTCGGCGCCGCGCCCGTCGGCCGGTACACGTTAACGCGCCGGGTCTCGTCGTAAGCGCCGTACGCGGGCGCGCGTACGCGCCGCCTCCGCGCCCGTACAGCCGACGTTCGTCCCGCCGCCGTTCCGGGGCCTCCGCCAGCGCGTACCGGCGCGTTCCCCCGTAGCGCTGCGCAGTCGCGCCGGCGTCCCCCCCCCTCGACCCGTGGCGTACCGTATGCCTGACGGGAACGAGGCCCTCCGGCCCAAGCTCGGCCGCAGCGCCGGCTCGACGGCCCTCGGCGCCCGCGCCGTAGCGACTGTCTGCCTGTTCCGCGTTCGCCCCCCCCGCCCCCCCTCCGCGTCGTGCGCCCCCGCGCCAATCCGTCGCTGGGCCCCACGGCCCTCGCCGCGCATTCCCTTACCGGGGCGGCCCCAGCCGAGCTTCCCTGCCCCACCGGCGCGGCCGCCTCAAGACGCAGGTACCCCAGCCAGCGCCCCCGCCCATGTCCCCCGCCGGCAGCGCGCGCGCGCGGACCCCGTACGGACGCCCGCCGTACGGCCCGCGCGTACGCCTGCCTTCGGCCGCCCAGCCGCCGCACCGCTTCCGTACCCTCGCCACCTCGGCAGCGCCGCGCCCCTCGCGATCATGGCGCCCGACCCGCCGGGTACGTCGCCCGCGCGCGGCTCGGCGCCGTCGCCTGGTCCCGCCCGGACCGATGCCTCCCCCCACCCTCCACCTTCGCGTGTGCCCAGGGAGCGACGTCCGCCCCGTGCGGAACTCGGTCCCCGCTCCCCCCGCGCGCCCCCTCCTCCGCCGTACCCTGCTGCACGTCGCGCGGCCTAACCAAAACCCCGTCCCCCGGCCCAATAGGCCCCCTTGCCGCCCGTACGACCATACGCGGCAGCTGCCCGCGTTCGCCGTTAGCCGCAGCGCCCGTAGCGCCCTCCACGCGCCGTGCCGCCCTGCGGCCAAGCGCCCGCCACTTTCCCCGCGAGCCGACGGCCAGTTGCGCGCAGGCCCCCGCCGGCAGCCGCCTGCCGCACATGCCCCGTCGCGGCTAATATTTTGGCTGACTCTGGCGCAGTGTTCCACGCGCGTGTCTCGCTGATGGGATATTATTCTCCGGTTTACATAGGGAGCAGTGGTTCCGACCCAGCTAAATATGGAGTACTGATGCTTCTGCAGTTTCTTAAAAGTTATGGAGGCTATCATTACCGATGCACACATGTCTTATCCGGACGGCGTTACTCACATTGCTTAGCAGAAACACGGCTTCCGCCAGAATGGGTCATGCACAACCAACCTATTGTTGGCACGCGACAGCTGGACGCAAACGGTGGCTGTTGGTGCGGAAGTTGATGTGGTTTATCTTGATTTCTCTAAGGCATTCCACCGGTTAGACCGTCGTATCCTTCTCTCCAAATTTCTAGGGTGTGGTATTAGGGGGCCCTCTCCTGGGTTGTGTCTGCAATTTGCTGTCGCACAGGCGTTTGTAGGTGAGGGTACGAGAATCCATGTCAGAACCAATTCACCTCGACTACGGTGCCACAGGGTTCTGTACTGGATCTTCGACTATTCTTGGACTTCATAAACGATCTAGTACATCAAATTAAGTCAAACTGTTTACTCTGCGTCCTTGACATCAAAGTTTTGTGAGTGAGCAAAGGTCCAGAAAACCGTATCCAGCTTCGAAACGAGGCTGACAAGATTTATGGATGATCGGTCCACAATGTCCGTTTACTTCATATGTGGATGAAACTGGCGTTGAGTGCTCGCGTATCGTAAATAGGCATCCGCAAAGGTTCCTAACCAAAAGTAGCATGGCAGGTACCCCAGGCCGTAGCTGCAACATCCTCCCTTCTCTCGAACAAGTGATTACACGGGTGTTGTTTGCCCCTCCGGCAAGGTCTCACGGACTTGCAGCAGGAGGCCTCGCTCAATCACCAACCCCAAGGGCAAGTCGAATAACGGGCGCCCCAGGTCCCACCAATCGTCGTGGACCCCCTCTTTCCGGCAGAGCGTCTTCGCGGCAATTCACGATACCGCCAACCCCCCCCTCCGTGTCCCTATTTTCTGCCCCCATACTATCCGTAGACTGTTCCAGCCCGCTATCATACCCGCACTGATGATTGTAATATGCCTAACCCTTCAAGCATTGGCACCGCCATGTCTATAAGCCTGGGGCGATCTCACCGGCCTTGGATAGATTCCCCACCACGTGCGGAGGCGGCCACATATAAAATGTCATAAGGGGATGCCGCCTCTCAGAGGTGCTTGGCATTTTCTTAGCGCCCCCCCTGAGCATGTTGGACTCACGACGTGTTACCTCTAGGGACGCCACCGCAAATACATGGTCCTGGCTCCCATACAGGTCGTATTGTGAACACACCACTAATCACCCTGTCGGTGGATCACCCTGTTTGCAACTAAGGTCACAAAATACCAATTCTATGTACGGTCAATCGATGCTGAACATCTGAGGTCCGCACGATAGCAAATACAAGTCGCGCTTCGATGTCCGTCGTACAGAAACTTCTTCTCGGTACTGCTGTTTGTCCACAGCGTGGATCTACACTCTCAGAAGCCATGTAATTTCATCCCTGGCCCGAGGTCTCAGCGCACATGTGTTCAAAACAAGTCGTGCCGACCGCGTGCACGCTGGACCATACCTACAGCCCAGATCCACGTTAGTCCAAGCTGAACACTGGCAAACAGCAGGAAAACACAAAACACAATCATCCGCTTCGCCTGCTCCATTTTCTGTGCGGAAAGAACTCCATAGGACGCGATTAGAACCAGTGCGTACTTCAAACCTTACATGAAATCAAGCGCTGATTGCTCACATACGGGGGGCGGTGAACGTTGACTAATCGGCAGTGTTCAAGATCATCATTTTCGCGGGCGTATGTTCACCACCATTGCTCCATATTCCTAAATGATCCTTTAGTTTATGCTTCCCACCCCCCGCTAATCGGATCACTCATCCGGTTGGGTATATGTCATAGCCATTCGGCTTTTTTTAACCATTCACCTTCTGCTAATAAGACGAGAGCGACTTTGGGAGCCGCGTCATATGTCGTTTGCTGTGTAGAGTATATGTTATGGAGCATGGGCACGCGCTTGTACGGGAGTGTGTTATAGATGATGGTGCTGGACTGACACTGTCCTCATTGTCTCTACCCGGGAGTGGATTTCAAATCCGAAAATTCTCTGAAGTAGGTATCAGTTAAGAATGCGCCTGTACAATCATCGTACACTCTTTCGGCCATTTACTCCAAACTCCGCCCAAGAGTAGAGTCGGCAGGCATTAGTGAGATGGCTATTCGCCTGCTAAGAGCTACACACGTCAGTACTCTAGCCACGCACAGATTTCCAACAGGAAAAGTGTGTCATTCTCGCCTAGATGCGGGGGGGCTGTCTGTCTTGGCTAAGTTTCAGTTTGGAAGCACTTGAAAGACACGCAATACTATATCTCCTACTGCGTGTTCTTTGCATCGGCACAGTCGAGCGAACTTCGCAAATTCGCGGATGGAGGCAGAACGCACTACTCATTCCGCCTTGAGGCTTATTCATCCTCGCCCCATCGATAGCGGCTGTAGTCCAGTAGCAGTTGAACGCACTCGACAGACAACATACCGGTTGAAACTGTAGCCCACGACATCGCAATGAGCGTACACTTTTAATTGCAAATATATTGCTATTCTTCCAACAGGGTAACAACGAGCCGTCTCTCCACACACCAGTCATCAAAATTGTTCACAGCGCGCAAGGACTACATCGGAACCGATGCTATTATAACAGTTACATTCGTGAAGATTCGTTGGGCGGCAGAGACAGAGATAGGCTACGTAATACATAGAATTCAGTGTGCGGCCCGTGGAGGTAGGAGTACTCCAATTGGGTAAAGCAAAGCAGTATACAAAAATACATCCGTAGTAGATCTGATGATGCTATCCTAGATAAGCTCATAAAACTGCATCGTTCTCGCTGTGATGTGGCAAACACTCGTTTTACTCTGTCTATAGTTTCTTACTCACTACTGAACGTTCCTAATCAACTGTGCACTCGGAAGAACTTGTGCAACTCTTCTCTTTGGGGACACTATTCTGCAGCGAATTTCTCCACGCATCTCTATAGATTGTGATTGTTTAATCCGTCATCTATAAATGTTATACACTCGCCGGTGAGCCAGCATGCTTACACTCGGGCCAATACTTCACAGACGAAATCCTTTTCATTCTTCCTCCATCTGTTCGCACATCATTGTGTTAACGGCTACAATCCGCGTAAATGGTCTAGTTGCGCAGCGTGAAGCGAATTCCTAAGATGCTGTCACAAGTCATTTAGCGTTCTAGCCAAGTAGTGCCAGATAATACACTTAAATGTGTCGCCGGCCACATGACCACAGGGCATGCGCACTCGGTAAGATTACATTAGTCGCACTCAGAGGTGTGTCAGCTGAACAGCGGAAACGGAGGAGGAAGTGGGTAGTGACTCGTCACAGGAGAGGCAGACCACAATGATGGATACTTATCTCGGTCTCGATTCGTGAGTTGCCAAGGACACTGGATTCGTCTTTTGGACCTAGCAATGCGCTTGCCACTAGTCACAAGCGCCCACATCCATGTCTGTGTAGACATACACTGCGACGCTCGGCGATGTGTGACTCGCCACACTAACTAAAGGTCTCACATGCCGTGCCTTACTCGGGTTAATCCTATTCAAGTACCACCACATAATCAGAAATGCCACTCAGTCGCCAAACATTCACTGTTAGACATTGGCGACGCACGATCGAACGCCATCGCAACCGAGCAATTACAAATAACTAAACGACACACCTACATACGGTGACACTGACTGCGTTTATTAGAATACACGTGTATGAAGTTCTACTTGTATACTATGCTGCTGTCATTATTGATCGGTTGTCCTGAGTTATTGAATCATACCTTATAAAGGCGATGCCCTAGTGTGCTAGCCAGGCAGAAATAAACAGCTTATTTTATTCATTTAGTTGACTCCACAAGCTAAGTCTCGGTAAACTGCAAATGATTTATTAATTCTGACTGGCAGGCTCTTTTACGCCCACGTACTGTTTAATCCAATACCGTACATCACTTTACATTTTGTCCAATTTAGGAGAAGTGAATGGTGGCCTCAAATCGGTCGTGAATGGGTCGATATTACTCACATCAGGTCGACACCAAACGGCGCGAGTGAAGATCACGCAAGGGAAGATGATGCGATCTTGCCAATATCGCTGTGGTGAACTTGAAGCCGGACACAGCCTACGAATTGGAGCTGTCCTCGGCTGCACAGAACAATATGGATCGCGTTCCGAGGCGCTCAAAGAAATTCTTATTGTCGCACGTCTTCTCTGATCGGGCCATGGAAGGATGCTGAACATGCCATCGTTTCTGCAGCACACGTCGAGTGCACCATCGCGAGCGACACGAGTAAGAGCACAGGTCCATGGAGCATCAAGTGCTCGTTAAATTTATCGCTTATCATCGTAGTGCAGCATAATTTAACTGGGGAAACTCAGATGTATTGCCCAAACCAAAATCACTAGATAGATTATTTTTCAATTGCTACAGCAGGGCACGTGTACGCTGTCAATTATATGGAGCCGCCGCTCAAGCAAGTTTTGTGGCCTTCACGTGCTTCGCGCTCGATCCGGCTCGAGCTCAAGTCTGTGAAGGGGAGAGAACTGGCAGAAGATAACGCTTATTCGGAAGCAAGGCCATAATCCGAACCCGTTTTTAAATTTGAAAGCCATGCATTAATTAGACTTCCATTCTTTTAGGATAGGAATCATGAAATGGTCGTTCAGGAATTGC